AAGTGCATTGAGTACAAGGCGACTCTATGTACGAAAAGGACACCCTCTGACAGAAGGGAGGAAATGTTTGAACAAATTAGAACTAAATTTCATGGTGTTCTAAAGTCTCTTCTTAGTTCTATACTTAAGAAGAAAATAGCTCTGGTACCCACAAACACCGGAAATAACAAGTCTACTACACTGAAGATCTTAAAAGAAATTCTCCCCAAATCAGCAGTCATTGACTCCAAAGTTCAGAAAGACCCCCCCGGTGAATGAGAAAGGGGGTGTCAACATCAAGACGCATGCCAACGGATCTGCAACACTCATACGAGCAGATAGAAGGCGTCCACAAATTATAACTCCCCGCCACCGGATCTGCAATACTTATGCATGCAGACAGAAGACGTCTACAATCTACAATCCATCTCCACCGGATCCGCAACACTCGTATTAGCGGACAGAAGGCGTGTACAAGCTCTCAAATGAAAAGTTGTGTGCATCCAAATGACAATTACCTACACAACTACAACTATTTCAAGCTACCCCTGCACGTGCACCGTAGCTTGTATACACATAGGTACACAAAGGGGTATATCAAATCAATGAAATTCCCAAACACCCATATGGGCCCGGCGAGTGTGTTATTGGTACACACGTGATGTCTAGGGATGCTGTGCGGGTCAATAAGTGAATTCTAGTTCGAACCTGATCCTTCTATACGGATCAATAGGAGTCGACAGGATTCGAACTTCCAAACAAATACATACTTGTGGTCATACCTGTTAACGCAAATGCGCACCATGGCACGGCAAGGTCCTTTGGGCCAGGCCATAGGCGTCGCTGGCACACAGTCGCGGCGCACGTTAATTGACAATGGCGCAGCGGTATATAAAAAATTATAAAATAATAAGCATGAATATGAATATTATTAAAATGAAAGACAAGCTATCATAATAATAAAAGACAACCATAGCATATATAAGTTCGAGCTAAGTAACATCCAAATATTCTCATAATTCAAATATTACAATCTTTTTTTAAAAGATTAAATAAGAATTTAATCTACTCTTCTTAGGAATAATCATCATTAGCGAATGTTAAAAAAGCTTCATTATCTTCATCAACATTGTCTCACTACTTCATAATTCTCTTCATCACCTTATCATCATTCTCATAGCAAATCATGCATAATTGAAGATTTTTCTTTCCCTTTAGATCTTTCCCGAATATTATAGCTTTTATCATAACACCAGTAGCTTTTAGCAACACTTGTCAAGTTAAATCTTCCTCTCCAACAATAAAGGTCCATTTTCTTCATCAAACTCGATCATCTAATTTTCCTTCCCCGTAGCCATATGCATCATCTATCTCAGTTAGAGAAATAGGATCAATGACATCACGATGATTGAATCTCCGAATCAGTGCTCTATTATATTTCACATAAATTAAATCCTTTAAGCGACCATGATCCAATTTGCTTATTCGTTTGCTATAAAGCTGCAATTAAAATATTATTATATTACTATATTATGAACATATATAAAAAATCAACACATACATTGTAAAATACTTACATGTTCAAAAATACTCCAGTTGCGTTCGCATCCAGATTAACTACATGTTAGACTTATGACTTTGATAGCAAAGCTTTGTAAATTGGGTGCTCCTTGTCCATATGCCAACCACCAATCAGCTGGAAAAAATGAATTTTTTTTTTCAATATTATATAACAAATCAGTCTTAATTTTTTTGTAAATAATAATACATGGAGATCGGGTAGTTCTTTGTCTTACAGCTGGAGGAATACCAAAAAGTCATTCACCCCTAATGTATAAACTTAATTCATTACTGATTTTATCTTCTTCAGCTACATCTTGAGATAATCTTCCAATACATTGGTAAAGATCATCATCTATTTCCTTATCCTTGGCAATATCAGGGTTATTAAAGAAATATTCAGGATTTAAAAAATGTCCCGCTGCATGTAGAGGCCGATGTAATTGCACTTCCCATCTTCTATTAATCATTTTAAAAATTTGATCCTACTTATCACTGTTATTGAAGCTTGCAGCAATTGCCTCTTTTGCTCTATCAATTGCTTCATATATGTAAGCCATTGGGGGCTTCTTCTCTTCATCAATCAATCTAAGAACCTTTAATAAAGGGCCAGTTATTTTTAAGACATACACTATAGTGTTCCAAAATGATTGCTGTAAGATTGTATGTTGAGATTGTTTTGCTTTAGCCTCTTTGGACCCAAGATAAATTCTTCACAAGTAAACATTTTCTTCAAGTTCAGTTTTTGTTGATGAAAACGTTGTAAAGTTAAGAAAACTGTTGCCGAGCATATACCGAGCGTGTACCGAGCGTGTACCGAGTGTGTACCGAGCGTGTACCTAGTTGTACTGAGCAGTACAGAGCATGTAACTAGCGGTACCGAGCATGTACCGAGCGGTACTGAGCATGTACCGAGCGGTACTGAGCATTTACATAGCGGTACCGAGTGGTATCATGCATGTACTTAGCGATACCGAGCGTGTACCTAGTTATACCAAGTTGTACCGAGCGGTACCGAGCGATACAGAGCATGTAACTAGCGGTACTGAGCGGTGCTGAGCATTTACATAACGGTACAAAGCGGTATCATGCATGTACTTAGCGATACCGAGCGTGTACCTAGTTGTACCGAGCTGTACCGAGCGGTACCGAGCGGTACAGAGCATGTAACTAGCGGTACCGAGCATGTACCGAGCATTTACATAGCGGTACCTAGCAGTATCATGCATGTACTTAGCGATACCGAGCGTGTACCTAGTTGTACCGAGTTGTACCGAGCGGTACAGAGCATGTAACTAGCGGTACCAAGCGGTGTCCAGCATATACATAGCGGTACCGAGCATTTACTTAGCGGTATCGAGCATGTACCTAGCAGTACCGAGCATACCTGTTAAGTTGTAAATTCTTGTAAGAAATAACCATGCAAAACAACAGAGCTGTGCGGAACAGATAGAGGTTACAAATCGGAGTCAGCTGGTAAGATTTTTTATTGGAACAGACGAAGGAGGGGGCGGATTTGGCAGAAGCAATGCTCTGCGGGACGATTCGGCGGAAAGAACGACTTCAACTTCGGGACAGATTCGGCTAGATTCGGCGGAAGCAGCGAATGCAGCAAACAGAAAACAAAAAACATTGACCTCGGGATAGATTTCGCGACCTCGACTTAGGGACTGTGGATGTGTTTGGCGGGCACAAACAGAAAATCTTTCGTGAAATTAGGGCAATGAATAGTCGTTTATCCTAAAATATAGATATATTTTTAAATATAAAAAATATTTATAAGTATACCGAAATTTAAAAATAATTTGGCGCGCTATTTTGCGCCGTGCGCAATGCGCCATGGCTCACATGTGGCGCAAATAGCATGCGTTATTTTAAACAGATGCGCCTCGCCATGAACATGGCGCCGTAGGTGTGCCGCGCCGTGCGCCATGGCGCTCGCTATTTTGCGCCATTGACAGCTATGGTTGTGGCGACCGATGTATTTGTTTTAATACATTCATATTAGACCTTCAAGGCCTATAATCAAAAGAATTCATTAAATAAAGGCATGAAGCCTACAAAACCCGATCCTCCTAAGCAAGTAAAATAGGAGTGGACAGGGTTCAAGCCATCGGATAAATATGCAATCACAAAGTTGACTGAAATATTTATTTTGTACATTCATATTAGGCCTTCAAGGCCTTTAATAAAGAAATTTCACAAACAAGGACACAAAGCCTATGAAACCCGATCCCCTATCGGTAAGTGGATAGGGTCGACAAGGTTCAATCAAATGGAAATGACCCAAGACACCCCGATGATGACCGCGTTGATTGAAGATCTCAACCAGAGGGGTTAATTTCAGGCTTTCCAAATGCCTTCCAAAAATCCACTCAAAATCCAAAAATCCGCAAATCCCAAAGTTTAAGATATTTAAATTTGAAATTCAACTCAAACATTTAAAGTAAAATCCATCCACTCTCCGCAACAGTTTGCCGAGGTGGACAAATTCAAAATCTACTTCTGCTCACAAAGAGCCAAATGCCTAGTCGAAAATATTACTAGGATCCATTCTGAAACAATCTCCTGCCAATAAGGACGTGGTACGTGTCCTCTAACCGGCGGTCTACCGCCAAATGACACCGCAGGATAAACGGTTATGACAACCCGAGGCCCTCTGAACCGAGTGGTTTTGCCGCCAAATGGCACCAAGATATACCGGTTATGGCTAGAGCCAATACGCTCCTTATTGACGTCAAATCCTTGAGTACGAATCAATAGGATATGATCGATAGGGCACAAAACCCTCTGTCAGCTAAGGTGGATTCAAATTTGTCCCCTTAGACAAACATTCACCCCAGGTCAATAAGGTACCCTTGGACGACGCAACCCATGACTGCCGACAAGGATCCTTCTATCAGGTTGGGTCGACTACCTTCTCTGACTAAGTAGACCAGGAACCACGATGGCTTGCGCCTATAGGAAACCAGAACTCAGATCATAAAGTCCTCACAAAATGAGGGCGAAATCTCTGGGTAGTGTCTTATATACAAACCCATCTGCCTTCCAAAATTTACCCCGGAACTTATTCCGTTAAAACTCCCTCGCCAAAGAAAAAACAAAAAGCTCAACAGTCGCGCGGTGGGGAGGCCGGGGCCGAATTTTCGGAGCCCACAAGTGTCCATTTAAGTTTTGCTGCTGCTACTTTATATAGTCCAATCTTATACTGTTCTTGGTGTGACAAAAAGACTTCCAAACGTCTAATGAGTTCTTTTACGAAACAAAGGATTATGCTACTGTGTGAACTGGAATATTAAATTTCATTTTCTATCCTTCGGTTACATGATTTTAATGAGGTCATTGTAACATATTTTGCCCATTGTCTTGTAGGACAAAAGGCCTATTTCCTGTTAATTTCTCCTTCAGTTTCAAATGGAATGTTGTTATAATCTATTATGTCCATCTTGCAATTTGTTTAGCAGGCGGATTTTTCTCAGATTTCTTACACCCGACGTTCATTTGTCGAGAATGGTAGTGCCTTTTACTTCATTCAAGCAAGGGCCTGAATTAATAAATGAACAGGGTTCTCAAAATCCAGTTCATGCAGATATGTTGGACTGTCACAATTCATCATATCTGCAACCAACTATATTTGTCCAGTTTGATTTTCAGAAAGAAGGTAGTCCCATTCCTAAGGAAAATCCATCGGTTATTTCTGATTCCCCTCGGACAGTTACAGACTACAGATCCCCCAGCTCTAATGTTCTTGGAGAATCCCATAGGTTATCCAGAAACAAATCTATTAGGGATAGCCTCAATAACTCACTGCCTATTGCTGCACCGAAGGAGTCCTCTTGGCTCAATTATGGCTCTGATAATATAGCATCGAATATCTCAGCTGATGCAACTAGTAAAGTAGATAAACCTGCAAAACTAAGTTCAAAAAAGAAAAGAAAAAAGAAGCGAAAACAATATAAAAGATCCATGAATAACAAGGCATCCATTAAACCAGAAAATCAGGGTGAAGAAGTCAACTGTGATGCTTCAAAATCTGAAAGCTCCACTAGCGGTGATCTAGTTTGTTCGTATGCATCTGAAAATAACTTGTCCTTGGTTGTTCCTTGTCCGAGCTTGGTTGTTCAAGAAACTTGTAGTGAAGTTTTGGAGCAACTTGAATGCAATGGTAATGATTGCTCAGGCATGTTATCAAGCTCAGTGGAAGAGACATTAGACAAAAGCATCAATGTTTCTAGAAAGCCAGTTTCTCTACCTTATGACTTTACTGATGCTGAGACAGACAAGATATTGTTTCAGGTTGTAAAATCAAGCTCTAACCAATCTTGTGAATTGAGCTTGTCCACTTCTCTTCAGAATAACCCTGAGATTGATATGACTAACGATTCTCTTGTTGATTGTGGAACGGAATGGTCCCTTGCAAATGATGGCGGATTTAATCCATTGGCTGATATGATGACTTTCACTTCAAGGAATGTTTCGGTTGAAGGTGAATGCAAGGATAACTCTTATCAAGATAATGATTTATCCAGCAGCTGCCGTGTCAATTGCTCTGACTGGGAAAAGGATGTTGCAGATATTGATTGCTGTTCCGAAAGACTTTTTGATAGCAGCCAAGCTTCAAGCAGTGACGATTTCCATCCAGTTATTTATACTAAGAGAGGAAGGCTGGCAAGAAAGCTTTCTGGGTTTTCAAATGGGATGCATAGACTCAATAATGCCCATTTGCATCGGGGCTTTGAAACAAATAATAAACATTCTATATGGCAGAAGGTAGAAAAGGCTGGCACTTCAGCGGTAACCCGTCCAAGAAATAATGGTAAAATTGTGTCACGAAATGCTGATGTTTCGTTAAATTGCCTGGACCCAAGGGTTCAACAGCTTAATGAGCTAAAGCAAAGTAGGAGGGGAAAATCTTTCAGATTTTCTTCTAATGAATTGGATTCCTCTCAATCATATTCATCCATAGTATCCTCTATTGTTGAGGCTAATTCAGGTCATATTTCAATGGATGGTAGTACCTACCTGGAAAAGTTGCAAAAGAAGCCCGGTTTAGCTACTACTGAGCGGGAAAACCAGTGTGCACGTCATAGTAGTATAAACAATATTAATATTCCTTCTAAAACTCAAGTTTTAAGAAACGAAAATCTGGATACTGCAGTTAAGTTTACTAATATTTCTCATCAGCGGACTGACAGAGTTAACACTTTATTAAGATCAACCAAGAATTCACAGAGCACAATCCTACCGAAAGAAACAGGACCAAATAATATCTGCAGCATTCTACAAAATACATCTTCAATGTCTCAAGATATCCTAGCTGATTCATCCGTGATAGAATTAAAATCAGACCAAAGGCATGCGAATACACATTTTGACAGTACTTCACAGCCTTCTGTTGATATGAGTAAAGATCCGTGCATTTATAAAAGGAAGGAAGATATCCAATGCCAGAGATTAGATATGGAAACTACTCACCTAGAAACTAGCAGAAGAGACAACAATTCTGGGTCTCTATTACAGAAGTGCATCCCAACTGGGGGACAGGATGTAGTGATTACTAGAAGTCAAATGGATGATCAGCCATATTCTAGTGTCCATAACTTAGTTCCTCGTAGTCTAAACTCGAGCTTTACTGATGACCTCAGTTCAAATCCTCATAGTTTGGTCTATTTGTCTACTAGAGAAATACAATGTTCAAGTCCCTCGTCTAGCTATGCGGATTGCTCATCTCCTGAAGAGGGTGAACTCATCAACAAGCTTGATAGTCAACCTTGTACGTCATCTGAAGAGTCCAGTGATTTCTCATCTCCATCTGGTTGCCATTTTTCTCTTGAAACAAAGGAACAACTTTTTCCAGGCTTTGAAACTGATTTGAGCAAGATAATTGAGGCAGTCGATGGATCATACAAGTTATTGGTTGCAGCTGAGGGTGTTCAGCTGGCTACTGGTAGTCCGCTTGCTGGATTTGAGAGATTACTACATTCTGCATCACCACTTATTGAAACAGACTGCATCAGCATGTGCAATATCTGTTCTCAAAGTCAAATCATTGGAAATTCTTTGTGCTCCCATCAAGTTCCCAACATTTCACTGAGAAGACTGTGGCAATGGTATGAGAAGCCTGGCAGTTATGGATTGGAAGTTAAGTTAGATGAATTGTATACCTCAAAGAGATCACGGACTGGTCTTTCTAAGTTTTCAGCTTATTTTGTACCATATCTTTCTGCTGTACAATTATTTTCCCGATCTAGAAAGTCCATCAATCATCCTAACAATGATACAGAAGGAGATTTGATGAAAACTTGTGATGTTTGTGACACATGCAAATATTCGACTAGTTTGGCTTCACTTCCTATCTTCTCAAAGCTTTTGCCACAACCATGCAAAAAAGAAGATACAAGGCCAACAAAACTTTATTCGTCAAGCAAAAATAAAGAATTCAGTGAATCAATGTTTAGGGAGCAATTGGCTGATGAGTTGCTATTTGAATATTTTGATTCGGATCAGCCACAGAAGCGGAGACCATTATTTGATAAGTAAGTTTGACAATATTTTTCTCTCCTTAGTATAGTGTGTATATTAGCATTTGCTAATTTACCAGTCAAATTGTTTGAGTGGAAATTACTACTCCTTGAGCGTGAAAACACTTTTTTAACTTTTTGCTGTATTTCTTGGGCAATGTGAAAATTCGCACATTTTGGTGAAATAGAACGAGCAGTACGCGTTTCCTAACTAAATATTTTTATTTTTGTATTGACACCTTTATTTTAAATCATTGTCCCCCAGAATTTGAAACCTAATGTCTCAGTGTGGAGTATAAGATAATCTTCACGCATTACCAGGCACTTTCAAAACTTTGGAGTCTCTTTTGCTTTTCCATCGAAGACAATTTGGTATTCAGGTTAATGGCCAAATGTTACTATATTATTAAGATACGAGCCTGTGTGCTCACAAATTTTATGAAAATTTTTGTCCCTGCTGTCCAAGAAACAAGTTTTAAACAGTTGCATACGTCAGTTGCATAGATTCAAAGTTGAAGTTTTACTTTATAAGATTAAAATTTTCTTTTATACTAACATTAGGATAAATTTTTAACGTAATAGGATTCAAGAGCTTATTCTCAATGATTCATCATCTAATTGCCACTTATTTGGGGATCCTTCAAAGTTGGGGTGTCTAAATCTGAAAGAACTCCATCCTGCCTCTTGGTTTGTTGTGCATGATTTTTTGAAGTTTCCCTTATATTTATTCTAGTTTTGCAATATATGAACTATACTTTGTTTGTCGTGGCTTTTTCAGGTATGCCGTGGCATGGTATCCTATCTATCGGATACCTGAGGGCAGCTTTCGTGCTGCATTTTTAACCTATCATTCTTTTGGCCATTTTGTTCGCAGAAGCACGTCAAATAGTACTAATGGTTGCATCAATTCTGTAATCTTGCCTATTGTAGGTCTGCAAAGTTACAATGCACAGGTAGAAGCATTATAATTTCTAGTATTTCATGTTGCATTATTTAGTATATTGGCTTTCTTCCGATCAATTTTTAAACTTGGATCAATTATTAAGTTGTGAAAACTAAAACACCCCTAGCACAGAAAAGCTTATTCTTTTACTTTCTCCTATCATTTCTTAAATCAGACCGTGCTACCAAATCTTCCAGCTTAATGCGAGCTGAGTAGGCATATTACTAAAATGGTTTATGGTGAAAGGTTAAAGATTGATGATTGATTCAAATTGATGGTTCATAGTAAATTTCCTCTATTAACTGTGGGCTCTGAAAATTCGGCCCCGGCCTCCCCTGTTGTTTTTTTTTTCGGGGGGAGTTTTAACGGATTAAGTTCCGGGGTAAATTTTGGAAGGCAGATGAGTTTATAGATATGACATTACCCAAAGATTTCACCCTCATTTTGCGAGGACTTTATAATATGAGTTCTAGTTTCCTATAGGCGCAAACCCCTATAGTTAATTACCCCTCCCGATAACGAGAGAGAACTTTCGATGAAGGCTAGTCATCAATCAAATACGTAGAGATACGTGTATCTGGCATATAATAGCAGCATGAGGTTAGATTTGGGAATTTGATATTTAAAATAGAAATTTCATCATCTTGCACTTAAAGCAGATGGTGGGGTAATGGATGATGGACCCGATCAAGATTCCATTGTTCCGTCGTCCCGGGCCATCGTGGTCCCTAATCTACTTAGTCAGAGGAGGTAGTCGACCCAACTTGATAGAAGGATCCTTGTCGGCAGCCATGGATTGCTTCGTCTAATGTTACCTTGTAACCTGGGGTGGGTGTTTGTCTAAGGGGACAAATTTGAATTCACCTTAGCTAATAGTGGGCTTTGTGCCCTATCGATTATATCCTATTGATACATATCTCAAGGATTTTATGTCATTGGGGAGCTTACGGGCTCTGGCTATAGCCGTAATGTAGTGGTGCCATTTGGCGGCAAACCACCCGGTTCAGAGGGCCCCGATCATAACCGTTTATCCTGCGGTGCCATTTAGTGACAGAATCGGTGGTTAGAGGACACATGCCGTGTACTTACTGGCAGAAGATTGTTTGAGAATGAATTCTTGTGATATTCTCGACCACACATTATCTCTTTGTGAGATGAAGTATTTTTCAAATTTGACCATTTCGATAAATTGTTACGGAAGGTGGATAGTTTTTTTTAAGCATTCAGTAGCTGATTTAAACTTTAAACATTTTGGATTTGGATGATTTTTGACATTTTCTTGGAGTTTTGGGTTTTATGGGCATTTGTGTGATATTTTAAAAGTATAGAGTATTTAGAATTAACCCCCCCGGTTGAGATATACGTTCAACATGGCCATCATCGGAGTGACTGTATATCTGTTTGATAATTCGAGCCATGTCGACTCCTATCTATTCATATAGAAGGATTAGGCTCATACTACATTCATTTATTGACCCGCGCAGCTTCCCTAGATGTCACTTGTATACCCATGACACCCTCGCCGGGGCCCATGCCGGTTGTGTGATTGCACTTTCCCTTTTATGTACCTATGTGCATACATATTATAATGCATGTGCATGTAGAGCTCAAGAGGGTTTTCAACGGGACTCTAGCTCGAGGTGGGGATCTACATGAGGATTGTAGGTATACCTTAGCAAAAACTTCCACCACCAACCGTGGATGCTTGAGGGATCAAATCAAGGCGTGGGGGCTAGAACTACTAGAGAGATGAATGGGTCAAGATAAGGAGAGGAGAATTGTCTGCTTTGTTTGCGAAGGGCCTCATTGGAGAAGGCATTGTCCTCATATGACCCTAAAACTCATAAAACATCAAGGGATGGTAGATGGAGAAGATGGTGATAGGGTCATATAGGTGGAGGTAACGCAAGTGGTGCAAGAGCAAGGACCATATAGAGTCAACTTCAAGGGCAAGGAGTTGCAGGTTATGAAAGATACTCCAAGGGATGAGGATGATAATCTAACTCATGAGGGAGAGTTTGGAAATCACGTTGAAGACTTGCCAATAGAGGTGACAGAAGTTTTCGATGTACCTTCAAATGTCTTGCCAATGGTACAGTCTGAGGTGAAGCCAAAGCACTAGGGTAGATCCCAAGTCCTTGATGCACCAGCAGACGACAAGGAAGCCAGTTTAAGGGAGAAGGTCAAGGGTCAAGGGCCAAGGGAGCCAGAGATGCACAATGGACCTATGACGATTCGAGGACCTTCATCATGGCTTCAAGCAAAATCGCGATGAGGGCATCCCGAGAATAGGCCGGGGAGAGTGTAACGCTCAATTATTTGACCTAGAGGTTTGGCCAAACCCCTTGGGCGTGACATGCCGAGTGGAGTCCAAAGAATCCTCCAAAACCATCTTGAGATGGGGTCACACAACATTGGAAGGTTCTGGAAGACACTCGATTGGCCTAGAGTTTCCTAGAATATTCTAGATGCTCTAGAATGTTCTACGATGGTATAGGGTTTTGGAAAGTCTCCTAGGATACTTTAGAACTCTCCATAATATTGTAATGTAAGTGTAGGTAATTGTGTAGAGTATTCTATAGAGCTCTACACTAATGAATAATGAAGGGAACTCTAGAATGTTCTTAGGCAAGGGTGGATGCTATAAATAGAACCCCTCCCCATCATTTGTAACCATCTCCTCACACCCCTCCAGTTCTCCTCTTATATAACTTATCTTGTAATACTAAAGCTTTTTCATTCAATTTATCTCTTTCTAACCAAGCCTTATAAGGGTTTAAGGCTGCTTAGCAATAGGGAGGTGTGCTAAGGCCGCACGGGTGACTTGGGCATAGTTTTCCCCCATGAAAAGCAGCTGTAAACGACATCAGGAATATATGATAAAGAACGCTTTGGAACCAAATGATAAAGGACTTCAACCTTGGGAGAGGGAGAGCTGGCCACTTGCCTTCAGGAAGGAGGAGAGTTTGGTTCAATAAATTCTCTTCATTCTTCATTCATCCATTCTATAAAACATAGCCCTCATAAAATAGTCCAACAAAAAAAGTATACACTGTCCAATGCTGAAATAGCTTGACTAACATAAAAAGGACATAAGAATGTGTTGAATTGAAGTCTAATCGAATACTTGAATACAAGATCACTTTGCTTATCAGTCACTATGTTAGAAGGTGTATTAACACAGTAATATCCCATCAAATTATGCAGAATACATATACACTGTGAATGAATGGCATCTTTACAAAACTCCAGATTTAAATGTTAATTTCTTGCAGGGGGAGTTCTGGTTTGAGCCAACAAATTTAAACTCTAGAGCAGTCCAGACAGATTCATCCATGCCCAAAAGTCCTTCAGGAAATTTTAAGGGCAGATTGCAGTCATTAGAGAGAACAGCTTCTGTGATGTCAAGGGCCACCATCCGCAAGGGTAGTCTGACTTGCACAAACAGTCACCCAGATTATGAGTTCTTCCTCTCCAGGAAGAGGTAAGATGTGTTAAAAGCACTATGTCGATTTTCTGCTTCAATTTTTTACAATGAGCTTAAATCTATCCAGTTTTTTATTTTCACCTGAGACAATAAGGAGAAATGTGGTACAACAGTTAACTAAATTTTGGTTTTTCTGTATATGTATGTTGATAGAAGTAAGCCTCTGAATTTTCCATCTGCTAGAAGCTTTGATGTAATTTCTTTATGCTTTTGCCTAAATTCATAACTCCATCATTCTGAATGCTCTTTCTCCAGTTGGAGCTTTAGTCATCTGATTTTTTTCAGTCTTATGTAAATAATAGAGGCTCTCTTATGGGAGTTTGTTCGTTTGATCTTTTGTACAAATTTTTTGAAGTTGGGATCTTAACAATTGCAATTAATTAAGAATAAATTTGTTGCAAAGTTATAGATCTTAAAGCACCCAAAAATCAAATAAGAAAGTTTGAACTATTATTTTAAAATTTTGAACAAATTTTTTATTTTTTTATAATTTTTTTTGAATAAAATGCTATCTCCTCTTGTTGACATTTATAACAATATCAATAATATTTGAATTCAAGTTCAAATGAATGGACCAAAGTGGATAGATGCAAATTCGAACTTGATTAATAATCTATGAAGGGGCAATAGCCGTAGCCATAGCTATGAACATGAGACTAACATTTTAAGAAATGAAGAGGGTGCATGAGAGGGAAGAGATGTGGCCGAATTTGCATCGATCCGGTTTAGTCCATTTACTTGAGATCAAATGAGAAGAAAATCCACTTTAGTCCATTTAAGTTCAAATGAGACTAATATTTTTAGTGTATTGGATATTGTTAGTAGCTCTGTAGTCTGCTGTTTGTTTTAACATTTATATTGGAAGAAAATTTAAAATTTTTTAAAAAGTAAATTTTAGAATATGTTTTTTGCAAGGCAACACAATATGACCTGTTCTATTAATGGTTCTTGTTCGATTGGGTTGCGACATGTTTTCTTCCACATCAGATATATTGTAGAGTGGATGGTGTTTTGACAATCTTGCTAATATTTTTCTTTTCTATTTTCTTATAATTTTGTCTGGATTGTTTTACCAATTTAGAGCTCATCATATGAGTGACCATGTCAAAAATTTTTATCATTTTCTTAGATGTTCCTGAAAAGATTTTAGTATGAGTTCAAACTTTTTCTCTTCCATGTTTATTTGGTTGATTAATAAATAAATTTCAAATATAAAATAAAATAATTATACAAATATATTTAACAAATAATAATGCAATTAATAATGCAGCTATGATTACAATCAAATTCTTTCATTAATCATTACTTTGAGACCTCTTTTATATGCATCGAGACCCGAAGTAGAAGAATTTTATTTATTTTCTTTAATTACTAGATTTAACAAGAACTAATTAATTACATTAAAAAAATATAACTGTGTTATACATAATTATATGTCCAGAATTAATATTTATGATTTTGTTCAAAGTATAAGAGTTAAAAATAAAACTAAAATAGCATCATTATCTAACCTCATACTGTAGGCTCCTTATCTTTATTTGAAATTATATAAAATCAAATAATTAGCATGAAAGTTTAATAAACAATCAAAACTACACAACTCTCCTTGGCCTATTGGTTGAGATCTTAGACTTCCAACTAAGAGGTCCAGGATTCGAGTCTTTGTGTATGCGTTGTGTGTGTGAGTTTGCCTTAAATGGCTTAAATGTCCCAAAAAAAATCAAAACTTAATATTGCATTCAATGCAAGGCAAATAATGCATACTCTAGTTGTAGTCCGTATCAATCAACAATGAAGAGTTTATCCGTACAAGCAATTAATAAAATTTGTATTAATCAATAATAAAATTAATATGATCATTTAAGTCAAAAGAGATCTATTCAGTTATAAATAAAATCAGTATAAATGACTATCAACTAATGAGCCATGTTAGTATTATGTGCTATGGTATATCAATATTCTTATCTTGTATCAGTAATATATAATATATATCAACACTCTTATCATTTATTATATATTCAGATGATGGTATCTTAATATTGCTCTCGCACTTATGACTCATGTATCAGTCTCTAGCATCTTAAAACTCCCAATCAATAAATCATGTGGATTTGCTCATGTACTTATAACTTCTGTATCAATCTCCAGCTCTTTATAACCTCCATCAGTAAATCACATGCATTTATCATATCCTATATTTGATATCAATCAGTACATCATTTTATCACACCTTACGATGTTTCATGTCAGTGTTTCGACTTCCCAATTCCACATATGCCAAAAATTCCATCTTATAAGATCCATCATGTCAGCATTCTTATCAGATTAATATCAGTATTACTGTTTAACATAAACTAATTATATCAATTAATTCATCATATATCATATTTAACATCGTATCAAAATCATACTACTACACCTTTCAACTTGTTTTCAGTATACATTTTTCCTTCTTATTTTCCATAAAAATTCTTATAAATATATTTGACAAAAGAAAATGCAATAAAATTTTATAAAATTATTCAAAATGATCAAATTCATAATATATTAAAACCTTCTGAAATTAAGGAATAATGCATTTCTGACATATTTAGAAAAGATAAAACATGTTTCAATTCCAATCCATTAGGATTCCTATTGTGTTGTATTATGAAAGATAAATCCCAAGATTTAGTTTTAGAATGTTTCAGATTCTCTTTAAATAATCATTTTAAATAAATAAAATACTATAGAGTTATTAAAACATCCGAGCACTAAAAAAATTCATCCATATAAATTCCTTCATTTCGTCAAAAATATATTTATATTACAGTATATGACTACAAACAGAATCTACAAAACTAAATAAAAAAGAAGCCATGACGATACAAAAATTAACAAAAGAAATAGCTAACAACTCTGATTAGATCTTGAACTGTTAATCAGCAAGCTTATTTCCTTTCTCATATTCTAAAAACCAGAGCAAAATCATAGTGAGCTACAACAACTTAATAAGCAACACAAATTGATTTAACTTTCCAATTTATTTTATTAAATATTTTTTAGAATATTTAAAAATAGTTAAATGCAGCATAATAAATCACTGTGTAGTAATAAGAACATAGCATTTATTCAAATATTCTAGTAATAATATTGATCAGTCTAATAAATTGAAATTCATATCATAGAATAAAATATAACATAACATATCATATATGTTTTCTCTTTTTCTGGAGCTAGACAAAATCTTAAAGTATTTTGACACTTTATGACTCCCTTTATATTTATAGTAGCAAAACCTGTCTATATGCATAAGAACATAGCTTATAGTCATAAGAACATGACTTTTTAGCCACCAAAACATGCCTTATAGGCATCAGATTCCGATCATTAATAAAATCTCAAGGATTCTGGCTCCTTATATAATACATAAAAATTTCAAAATGTAAGCACAATATTTTTGGCATTATTATTTTCTAAAGTTTCCCCATTATATCTTTCCTCCATAACACGTCAAAATTATTTCATTAAATCTTATTTTTAATTTCGAGCATTTTGACATATAGAAGTGTACCTAAATTACAAGCTTAACACATTTTAAATTAATTAAATTTAAGGTATTTAATTACTTAATTACCTATTAATTAAGTTAACGTAATTTAATTACTTGTAGCATTAACTTATCCACTAACATAAGCATTCCACAAATCTAAGCATTTCCCATCCACTAATATAAGCATGCTAAATCCTACAGCTCATATGAGGGGAATTGGAGTTGGTGGAATATAGGGAATTAATTTACGTAATATATCAAGCACTTAGTATTTTTCTCCCTTCCATTCCTCTCGCCCTTCAGCCATTCTGTTCGTTGGAAGCTGCTAAAGGCTTCAAGCAAGAGGAATCAGGAAAGCTGCTGCTGTAAGCTGTTGAAGAGGAAGAATTCAATAAATATTAAGGTAAGAAATAAAAAAATTAAAGCTGCTGTAGGCTGTAATTTGTTGTAAATGGTGAAATTAGTTAGGTAAATTGATGTACTTGTTTTTCGATAAATTGATGTACTTGTTGTAATTCAAAAAAACGTTATAGAAAATAGTAAAATAAGGGATGACATCATGGGTTACTGGTGCTGAAATTGCTATAGTTTGCTGAAACAACAACAACAACAACATCAAGCCTTTGTCTACATGAATCCTTTTTCGCCATTGTGCCATGTTAAAAGTCAAGTTCTCATTTAAATCTAATAAAGAAAGATTATTTCTAATATTTTCTAGCCAAGTCTTTTTAGGTCTATCTCTACCTTTCTTAGCATAAGTCAAATCTAATACCTTAACTTTCCTAATCGGGTCATCAGAAGGCCTCCATTTAATGTGACCAAACCATCTAAGGCGACTCTCTCTAATCTTATCTTCCACTGGAGCTACTCCAACCTTTTCATGTATATGCTCATTTGGTATCCTATCTCTAAGGGTATGGCCACTCATCCTCCTAAGCATCCTCATCTTTGCAACCCTTAACTTGGTATTATGCTTCTCTTTTAATGGCCAACATTCGGCACCATAAAGCATTGTAAGTCTCACCACCATCTTATAGAGTTTTCCCTTATGTTTGAGGGGGATTTTTCTATCACACAACAAGCACGATGCATTCCTCCACTTCAACTAACCAACTTGAATTATGCTGATAAGATCCTCATCTATTTCACCATCACTCTGAACAATAGATCCAAGATATCTAAAATGTGTATTCTTATTAATAACTTGATTGCCCAAAGTCACAATCCGCTCACTAGGTCTATTGCTACTAAAATTACACTCCATTTATTCAGTTTTAGATCTACTCAGGCGAAAACCTTTACTCTAAGGTTGACCTCCATAATTCAAGTTTACCTTCAACTCCCTCTCTAGTCTTATAAACAAGAAGAATATCATCAGCAAAAAGCATACACCAAGGTACATCATCTTGCAAATGTCTAGTGAGAACATCCATGACTAAAGCAAAAAGATATGGACTTAAGGCTGACCCTTGATGTAATCCAACCAAAATATGAAAATACTTGGTCAAACCACATTGTGTTTGAATACAAGTAATAGCTCCAGCATACATATCTTTAATGATTTAAATATAAGTGTTATTAACTCATTTCTTTTCAAAAACTCTCCATAACATTTCTCTTGGAACTTTATCATATGCTTTCTCTAAACCAATAAATATCATATGTAGATCCTCCTTATTCTCTCCATATTTCTCCATCAAACCTCTCAATAAATGTATGACTTCCATAGTAGACCTACCTGGCATGAATCCAAATTGATTTTGAGAAACATTAGTATCACGCCGCAGCCTATGCCTCA